TTCTTTCCGAGCTCAATTGCTTGACGCATGGTCGATTTCAAGATAACGGCCCAATGCTTAGGTGTTTACAGCGGCCTTTTATTTGAAGTGGTCTTTTAATCAAAGCGGTCTTTTATTTCTAAAACATTGTCGAAAATTCGATGGGGGTTGTAATAGTAGAAGGTCTTCTAAACGTAAAAATCCGTAAGATAAAATTTACTGTTTCAAACAAAAATAGCAATCAGGCGATGCCAATAACATTTTATGCTTCCTGTATGCCGACGGTTAGCATTTCGCGTCGACGATGTCAAACGTATCTTTGCAGTTGGAGCAAAAAGCTATATTAGTGGTGATTAACTCAGTGACCTTGCGCCAACGACAGTCCTCACAAGTCCTGACTAGTGATTCTTCGTACCGACCAAAATTTATTTATGCCTCGATGCATTGTTGCCTTGCCAAATTAGAAGCCATTACTCACTATAAACTGCCTAAATATGGAGGTGTATAACGAAGTCGGCGCGTAGATGACCGACCGAATACCTAGCAGGATATTTTACGACTCTGTACATACGTTCGATATTTAATCACCAAAGGGTTAAGAACCTACAATATAGCTTCTTTTGATACTTTATGCCAACAATCAGAGAATCATGTTTGTGAAGTAGGTTATGCTTGAAATTTAGTGTCGCCATCGTCCTCTGGTGATTTATCAGGGCTCATTCAGAATAACGCATATCGTCGGCCTATATGTGTGTGAAAATTCTAACCCACTTAGTGTACAATTCGGCTTATCGATGTGCGATCTCGCTCATAATGTACAATAATGTCTTACCGTTGGGGTAACGCAAAAGCCTAGCTTCCACCACAATTATTCTTATATCGAAGTTATACTCGGCAGCGAAATATACCCATGACAGACGTAGGGACGACGCATGATCTGTTTAGACCACGAATGGCTATAAGTCACGCATGAGTATATTGGTCTTGCCAGGGATTACTAAACTGTATGTATCTTCTATTTATGAAGTGAAAGGTTCTTCTCTGCTGCTCAAAGCCGGGAAGGATCAAATGCGATAATGCGCTCATGCCCTGGTCATTTGCTGGGAGAAAGAACAGTCCACGTGAAATTGGCCACACTTAGCCATTACATGAAGGTATATCTATGTATGTTCTGTATACATCGTGAGAATGTATAATAAAAGTGATTACAGTATGGTACCCCCACATCATTTTATAGATAGTTATAGATATTCTGTGTGATACAGAATGCTGGTTCTCACCTAAAGATTTTCGCTGGTGACGAGACCGACATGTCTCTGTATTTAAAAAAAGCGGTGGAAGCCAGTCACTTTTGCTAGGAGCACCACAAAAGCTAAATGTCAAATTTCCCGATGTTCGAGCTCCGTACACTTAAGATCTTGTATGATTTTAAGATGAGGTTTGCCCTTTCTTACAAAAATATGCGTAACCCGTTAAATCAACGTAGCTTCCTCCAAGCAAAGCAGCCCACCGCAGCAGTGGTTACAGACTTTATCTGGGCGCCTGACACCTTGCTGCCGTTTTGATATTTTTGCCTTGGGGACTTTGAATATGAAGAAACCGTTTCACAATAATATCACTTGGGACATTTGTGACTTCGTTAACAGATGCATACACCCAGTTCATTTCGTTCGTCGTCAAGCAGCTTAAATCAGCGTTGCGCGACTTGTAAATGAAGACCTCCACATTCACCCAGTCGATGCTAGGCTAATAACGCTTCAAACCTGAGATTTCTAGGATGTTATCTAGCTTATCATTGGGGTAAAGACGGATGAACTCGTCTTCGCCTCAAATATCTTAATACTTCACTGCCAAACAAAGGACCTGTCTCGACATTTCCATTGTAAGTCCATTCGCTAAATATATAGCTATTATCTTTTCACACTGGGCAGGCTAACACTGTGCCCAACTGGAATTCGAGCTCAAACGAAGTTGTTCGACATATTTGTGTTAACTAAAGCTCGTATTGATGTCTCAGCACCATTTACAAAAACTTTTTGGACAATCGAAGTCGCAATTTTCATGTCACTACTACCACTTCTGGTAGAAACTATGTGTGTATTATTCAGTTTGGGACCAAAGTTCTATATATCCACAGCATCCGCGTACTCTTCCCGGGCCCAGTCTGTGGCCCTTCCCTAATGGTCGTTCCCGATGTTGCCCTTGGAAGCTTCCGGATCTACGATCTTTATAGCGTTCGCGTTTATGCGAACGAGCACCCTCTGTATGTTACGTCACTCTACAGTCCCGAGCAATATAATCCGGCTTCCCACAACGAAATAACTTTTCACAGTTGCAAAAAAGCTCGTTTCCATGCGATCAAATGAGCAAGATGTCCATTGGCTCTGCACCTTCACTTAAAGAAGTCGACAGATGCGCTTGTCTTCGTTCAAATCCGTTGAGCTTGGCTTGCTTGATGCTGAACGCTTCTTGCATTGCACTTTTGATGGCTTTGTCTATCGTCTTGAGGTAGTTGATCCTAGACCGCCCCATAAATATGCCCGCTATGAATGTTACAACTTGTGTTGAAACTTCAATTGGCTCGTCACTAGTTCTAAATACTAAATAACGAGCTCGTTGTGCAAACGCATGTATGTCGTAATGACCTTCACAAAGCTTCAAGAACTCGGCACAGACACGAAACTCTCAATATGGTGACTCAAACGCCTTCTTGAGCGCGATCTTGAAGCATTCGTATCTGAGAAAGCAGTTGAGATCAGTTTAACGCTTACCATCCGTCCAACACGTTGCACGACCCTCAAGTTTGGGCATACTTGCTGCTAAAAGTCTCGCAGTTGTCTTGCAGTGGTTGTTGCATCAATTTGACAAATTATCGTGAGAGAGGCACAAACCACAAAATAAAAACATGTTCGGCTTTGGAGTCATCGTTCAGCGAGAAGAAAGAGAGCATCTCATTTGTTAGACCTTAGTTCGCGGTATCGATGGTCCGCGTGGCACCCCAACTTCCTCCATGTCACTTGGGCAAGGACATGAGGATGGCTTGAACAGGAATGTGCGACGCGTTAATTAGCCGTATCATACCGCTCGAAGTGCTACCAGGAGTATGAGGGCTGCTCACAACAGTCCATAACACACATTCTAATGAGGCGAGGAAGCGATCCCTGACGTGAAGAGAGAAGAATTGTCCCACATTGATTGGAGCAAGAAAGACTTGAGGCCTTGAAGGCAAACTCGCAACTGAATTAAAAAGAGTAAATGGTTCCCAGAGCTATATGCATGACACCCCAAGGGCTCCTAAAGCTCTTGCTGATAAAACCTTGGTTTTTGATCTATCAGAATTATACAATCAAGGGTGTACTGGGATTGCGTCGCACAAGATTGTTCGACCGTACATAGGTGTGTATTACATAGTGATTGTAAGCCACCACGTGGCAGGATTGCCAGTAGTACTGGATATTACTAAGTTAATTAGAATTTGCGATTTTAACTAGGTATTACTATATCAATTATGAAAACCTAATTTTTAGGTATTGGCGGCTCTGCCGCAATTATAACAATAAGATAGAGTTCCAGTTTTGAACAGAAGTGATCGTCTGCCTCGCTTAAGGCTTTAGTATATAGCAGTAAAGGATTGCGATCCGCTATCCTTTCACTGGTTCTTGGAAAGAATTTAAGGTCTGTGACCTTAGCTCTGCTTCCTCTAAGCAAAGGTCTACGGCAGCCCCGCTGCACTTGGTAGTACTCGTAGTCAATTTACGCCTGAGTCGTCACGACCGATCCTTTGTGAGGATGGATGAATACTCCTATTTGCCCCAGGGCATACAGGACGGGCTTTATAAGCTGATGTCCCTACTGGGCCTTGAAAGCGTGGAGCACGTCGTTGCGCAAGGGCCCGAGGCCATAAGCGCGCGCGTTTCAAGATATGAAAATGCTACTTACAGCAGAAGCTGTCAGCGTCAACTGCGTCTATGACGCCATCGTCGACGACGGATGAATCCTTCCGACCTAGGCCACTCATGGTGAACATTAAGACCTTGTATGGTAAGGATGTAGTGAATCTCTTTCTGAGGCCGAGATGGCTATGGCATCCGCCATACTTCAAAACGAGCATCAGTGCGTGGCGCTAGCTATCTCTTAGCTTGGGGGTCACTGTAACCACTTCGGGGAGAGGATCGGCTGCCATCCCGGCAATGAGAATACTCAACTTCAGAAAAGTCTAGCAATTCTTTCCAACCCTGGCAGACGACAAGAGAATCGCGATCGCACGGGATATGCGGCGAGAACACTAGTAAAAGCTGATGCTTAAGCCCCGCCCAGAAAGGAAACACCGCTTCAACCGACGAGCTGCACGTCAGTGCCCGTTCTTGCGCTCGACCCCCTAAGCTTTAAGATAGCTAACGCCACGCGCTATTGCTCGTTCTAGAGCACGACCAATGGCATAGCCATATCGGCCTCTCCCACATAAGAAATGGTGTTTTTGACAGGGTCAAAGACAGCCTCCTTTACGCTCCAATACTGGCGTTGCCACACACCGATCGTCTTTTTAGTAACGTCTGTGACGCTTCGGGCTTTGCCATCGGCTGTAGACTGCTGACGCCGAGGAGCGAGTTCGGATGATCGCGTTCGAATTTCGCCGTCACAAGGCTGCGAAGAGGAAGTACCCAGTCCACGACAAGGAATCATTTGTGATAAATTCAGCACTTGTCAAGTTTAAGGTGCATCTGTTTGGCTCAAAGCCGTTTGTGATCTACACAGATCCTGCGTCCTTACACTCTGCGTTTCAGTCGCCTCACCCCTCGCAGAGGATGGCCAGGTGGATCTCATTCTCTTACATAATATAACTTCGAGGTGAAGGTTAAGCCAGGAATGCAGAACGCTTTGGCTGATGCGTTTTCAAGCAGACCAGACTATGGATTGTTCATGTCACGACAGTGACGTCGTCAGTAACGGACCCTTGCCGCATACGCGGGTAACAGTATGCGTTTAGCGCTGCTACAGGCTCTCGGAAGCAAAGAGTTCGGAAACTCGGATAATAAATTGTCGGCGCGTTTGCGCGCGCGGATACACCGATATTCGTATATACCACCAGTTTTGTAGTCTCGTAGGATCGAAAAACTGCTTGAATTGTCGTA